CCATACCACCACTTACAGATAAAAATAATCACTTAGCCACAACATCAGAGGAAAAAGCCAATATGCCTGCCCAAATGTTTTCCTCCAACTCCAACCTAACAGTGCCAAACGGAAAAACTCCACCGTTCATTGAAAGGGTTTCCCATAGTATGCCAGAGGTACCCTTTTGTCACAGAGAAATACGAAAATCCCTAAAAAAGCTGGATACAAACAAAGCAATGGGTCCGGATGGCATTCCCGCAATAGTACTCAAAAATTGCGCCAACGAACTCACCCCAACTTTCGCAAAATTATTCAATTTGTCTTACAGGCGAGGAGTATATCCATCATCATGGAAGTCTGCCGCAGTACAACCCATTCCAAAGAAAGGAAAAAAGACAGATCCGTTAAACTATAGACCAATTGCTCTACTTCCGGTGATATCAAAAGTAATGGAAAGAGTTGTGAACAATCACCTAACCAAGTACTTGGAAAAGTACAAAATTATCAACGATAAGCAATACGGATTTCGAAAATATAGGTCAACTGGCGATTTACTTACATACGTCACTCACTTATGGCAAAAAGCGATTGAGTTGCGGGGTGAAACAAGAACAATTGCCTTAGATATATCTAAAGCATTCGACAAAGTTTGGCATGAAAATCTGCTCAACAAGCTCAAAGCAATGGGATTATCGCCGAAACTTTGCACTTGGTTTGAAAGTTACCTAAAGGACAGATCCATTTATGTTGCACTGGATGGCCAGAACTCCAATTCTTACCAAATAAATGCTGGTGTGCCACAGGGAGCAATCCTTTCGCCAACTCTTTTCCTGATTTACATAAATGACCTCATAGATAAAACAGTAAATCCACTTTATTGCTTTGCAGACGATGGCAATGTAGTCTCCTCACTCATACCACCCACAGGTCTTTCCGCACGTGAATTCCATCATCTTAGACTAACTCAAATATCGCAGATAAATAACGACCTGGAGATAATAGAGGACTGGGGTAACAAAAACCTTGTACAGTTCAACGCGCAGAAAACCCAAGCAGCTCTGTTTTCAAAAAAGACCAGCACCGGTGAGCCAAACATCATGCTATCTGGAAGTGCTGTCACATTACAGAGTCAGTTGAACATCTTGGGGGTTACTGCAGAGACCAACATGTCTTGGCACAGTCACGTGGCAGATATTGCTAAAAGGGCCTCCCAAAAGCTGGGGGTACTATTTCGTACAAGACATCTGTACACACCAAGCCAATTGCTGACACTCTACAAAGCCCAGATTCGACCAACTATGGAGTACTGCTCACATATATGGAGTGCAGCACCCAAACATACCTTAATGCTTTTGAATACCGTGCAAAAACGAGCTATCAAGCTGATCAATGACCCCGCACTTACTCGTAACTTGGATGGTCTCGAACATCGCAGATCTGTGGGCGATTTATCTCTCTTCTACAGGTACTATCACGGAAAATGCTCTGATGAGTTGGCACGTATGATTCCACCGAGAGTAGCACCTACCAGGCGAACCCGTCAAACAGACGGTAACCATGAATTTACTGTCAAACTAGAGGCACCAAGAACCTCATTATATCAGAATTCTTATCTCTGGAGAACAGCATCGCTGTGGAATAAACTCCCTGCGACGGTTTTCCCTGCAGGTTACAACCTGAACCGTTTCAAGACCAACATACACCGACATTTCCGCGCACTTGCCGCTTCTCGAGCGTGATAGGACATTTCCTTGCGAGTGCGCATATCCGTAAAAAAAAAAAAAAAAAAATTTTTTTTTTTTAAATTACGCTTAAACAAAATTTAAATCTATTTTTATATTTAGTTGTATTAATTTTTTTCACGTCTCATCACATTTAGTCACAACGCAGCCAAGCCGGTCAGCTGCTCCCAGACTTGGGCCATATGGAAATTATTTAGATGGCGCGTTTTAAATCATTTTGAATTTGGCAAGTTTTAAGTGCCTGTAAAAAACTTATTCAACGTTGTAGATCTTTTTTTTTTGGTATATATGCCTAAAATAGTCCCTCCTTTAGGATTTTATACTTAGATTACGAATTTAAATTTTAGTGAGAGAGCACATTACTGTCACTCTTATCGTAGTGCTGACAAAACGGACAAATTCACACGAGTAAAGCGCTTTTATAAACTGACACTAGGACTTGAAGTGGATGGAACAAGTCGAACCGACAAAGAGATTTCATTTAGTCAAACGTCACCGATTCTGAACTTCGGGACCACAGTGTCATAATTATACAGAGGGGTTAGAAAAGCATTTTGAATAAAATTCATCATAATGTGAATCAGATACACTCTATGCTAAACATAACTAAATAATAATGTTGCGGAGAGAAATTTATCATATAATTTGGAAGGTAACATTACAACAACCAAATTATATGGTGGGGAGTAAGACTCGCATATCTTAGTGATTTTTTCCGGCCATTTTGGTGAAATGGGACAATCTCGATTCTTGCAGGGTAAAAAATATTACTACTCTCAGGCCAAATCGAATCAAATATCTTCATCAACACCTGCGCCGACTCGCTTGCTTCTGTCATCAAATAGTGTTCTTTTCTCCGAGACGAGTTCTATCACGTCTATTTGCTGAGTTCTCATTTCAAATGCTTATTCTGCTTCCCAGCATAATATAAATAAATATATTTATCTAGGCTAGTTAGTCAGTTGCAAATAATTATTATTGTAACTTTTTATTGTAGCGTGCTTTTCGCTAGTATAAGTTATCGGATTGTTAATACAGAATACAGTAATTTTTTGAAAACCAATCCTCGGTTTCTGACTTGTTAATTGCAGGTGTTTCCAGTGACCCACTTGAGTTACTCCTGAGCAGCTCAGGAGTGCTCCACAATTACTTCGCGCGTTCCAGTGCTTGGAGTGTCGTATACTTGAACTACTCATTTCTGTTATACCCTTCCCCTTGTGCACTAACCTTTATTCCGGTGTTTCATGCTGCTAGAGTCCGAAATGGCGGGGGTTAAGAAAATTGAGGTTATTTTCGTTCGGTTTTCACGGTTTGTTATTCTTCGTCAATGTTATTGTTTTGTTCTTATTGTTAAATATTCTATAACCTGTTCAATTTTAACATTTTAAGTAATTCAAGTGAAGGGGGGCTACAAAGAACTATTGATGAACAGGAAGAACATAACAAAATGTCAAATAAAATCGGTCAGACGTCACACGCTACCACCCACCACACGGAAGCGTTCCAGTGCTGCTTATGTCGAACAGTTCAAGAGCGTCACACTCCAGGAGCATGATACTCTAACAATTTAGGCACTGGAAAGCAGCTCTGATGGCATAGATTGACTATATAGGTAGGTGACAAGTTACGTTTAAATCAAATTAAGTCTCTGTTGTACTGAAAATCCGAGAGTTACAAGACTTTTATTTGCTGTTACAATAAGAAACTAAGAAAGATATGCTCCACTTATTGCCAACGTTATCTTTGGATGAAACAACTTATCCAATACAACAAGTTGACCTCACAGCAGACGTTTATAATATCTCGCTCCTTGGATAGATGTATGTCAATAAATGAATTTTAGGTATTTATTATTATATTTTATATACTTAGAAATTTTTGAGAGTCGTAATTTTTATTAGTCTCTTTCTTAAGGTACAGTTTGTAAGGGCAGTGCGAGAAGCACAACTCACACCGTAAACATCAGCAGAATATATTTAGCATGATGTTGACGCTGTACGTCGCGCTCACCTGCGCAAAGCCAATAAACGGGTCCATATTATACACTAGGTTGATTTTAGCAGACGTGCGCGGCGTTCGCTAGAATGCGAGTTGTGCGACACGCACTGCCCTTACAAACCGTACCTTTAGACTTGTACATGAAACGAGCTTAGCCTGGTGTACGTCTAGATGATGACAACAGCTGGACGTATTATTCCTGTTGGCATATATTATTATATGTAATCGATTTTCATTTGAGTTTCAGGTGCTATTTTAGGAAAACAAAGATGCCATGTCAACGCTATTATCTAACTAGATATTGCATATTCGTGTGTAAATATTAAATGAATCGAAACGATGCCCCTAATACGGAATACGGTAGTATGAAACGGCGGATTTTCCAATAATTAAAATTGAAAATCACTGAGAAGATAAATGGTATTTTAATAGCAATAGCATATGCAGGAAGCCAATACCTTTTATCCTGATTAGGAAATCATTTAGGTGTGGTCGGATTCCATAGGTTGTGGCTGACATTTGACAGCAATTTCTCCTTCTTAGGGCATTGCACAGCGTAGGTAGGTAATACGGCATTTGAGAAATTTGTAGGTATAATGAATAAAGTATGGAAAAACGTTCGCTAATTAATTTTCAAATTGAAGTTATTTAATAAATGGTGTTCAGAAAGAAAGTATTACTTACTTTCAGAAAGAAGAGTTAATTCCAGTAAATTGCAACTGACAGAAGAGGGAAGATCTGCGATGATCTAATCTTGATGGATAGTTAATTTTTTTCAGGAACTGTTTCAGCATAATTTGCATGAAAAACCTCCCAGCTGAGATAGAATTCGCTACTCCAACGAATTAAAATTTATACCACCTCAATTTTGTCCCAGCTCTTCGATATCTTATTACCAGCAATAGTGGATGTTTAGAAAATAGAACCATCACAATATGAGAACTAGGAACAGCACGACAAGTTTCCATACGTATCTTACCTATTTATTATGCCATGAACGAAATGCAAAAAAAAAACCTTCGCTATAAATGAGAAATATAAAAAAAATTAATTGGGCTGTGTGTACCAATTATTCAAATTTTACAAACAACGGCTAACTTTTATATTACATTGAAACTTGCCATTAGTTTTTCTTGAAAGCAAGAAGGTTATTTTTGGTAGTTATAATTTGGTCACGCTAACCCAAGCATAGAATAGGTAATGGGGTTTAAGGTGAAATCCAACGATAAAACTCCAATTATTTTTTTGCCAAATTACATATAATTCAAAGCAACTTACATTATTTCTGGCACCAACGTCAGATCCGAGGTCGATCATTCTATCCAGGAGCGATGTTCGATTGTCTTTTACAGCGTACATTAGAGGTGTCATACCAGTAGTCTGGAAAAAATGATGACAAGCTTGTTAAAACATTTAGGCAGTATGGAAAGAAACGATGCTGTGATTTGTGTGAACTGATTTCAAATACTGTATATTACGAAAATCCTATCAAAATTTAAAAAAAAAAAATAAGTTTTTATTGGCACACTTTGTTTAGGGGTCTACTAATATTTTTCGGGCAATTCACAATTGTTGATATCAAAGGGAAACTTATTTTTATAAGAAGTGCATTAAATTAGTTATGAATAAGTATTTTTTTGTATTCCGGAAATTTTCACAAATGTTACTGTTCTAGTGAGAAGGACAGAGAATATTTTTTTCAGCGACCTAAGTGAGCGAATGATATTCGGTGGCTCACAAAATAAGTAGGTAATTTCGTCATCAGTGGCCCTCTGAGTCTGATATCTTTAGTCCACCTTGCTAGTGGACTAGCTCTGTTGTGGTCACGCGGTTTATCTGGGTCATTCAAGTATTTTCTAGGTCATCATTGATTCTCACAATATGTCCAGGTCAATTCCACTTTAGATGGTTATTTTTTTTAACCCTCTGCTAGACGAGTCCTTTGCCGGATTTTTGCTTGCAGGATTTTGTAACCTAATGCTATTTTTAACACTAATCTCTCCATTGACATTTGCGCCTCCTGTATCTTATAGATGGTTTTCCAAGCATAACACGTTTATAGAGGAAAGACGCACTGATTGTGAATATTCTTTTTCAACCACATTGGGATGTCTAACTTGAACACTACCTTATTCTTCCAAATGAAGCCAACGATAGTCTTTCTCCTATTGAGCTCCACGGTCTGGTTATCTGTGCTCGATTTTATTTATTTGAAAAAAATGCTCTGGTTCCAGTGGAGTCTCACAAGAGTCTGTACCTGAAATTCTGAAATATTTTGATTGGTCATACTCTGGCTCTTATTAAAATTGGTTCTCAGTCCCACGCTCTATTATATGTATATGCTTACGCCTTCTCCTTCCCGGTTTTTTCCTTCCAATGACAGCTTGTATTAGAGGTGCTTGGGAGAGATGTTGCCTCATTGTCTTACGCCAATTTATCAGTATTTCTCTGGTTGAACATCAATTATTGACAAACTTGATACAATAGCACATGTGAATGCCTTTCTTCTAACTTTTTTACAACAGCTGGTACAAATCCTCAGGATTTCTTCTCTGCAAGATTTCTGCGCAAAACTTTCATAGTTTTGTTAGCTTCTATAATTTGTTCAATTTCTCTTAGTGCTTTTGACACTTGTTTATTCTTGCCTTTCATTTCTGCGCTGGCTTGTTAATTCCGTTTTATTTTTTGGGCAGTGGCGATCCTGAAGACTTTCCAATATGCTCGTTAGGTACTGCAGAAGCCCTGCTGCCTCTGGTGGACTCGTCCAAGTTGTTCTAGCAATCGTGGACCATTTCATGCCCCTGCTTTCCAATGTCTATTAGGTACTACTTTTCATCTAACCATTCTGTGGTTGTTTTGGTGGTAAGCCTGTTTAGGACTGTCATGTCGATGACAGTTATACAGCGTGTCCCACCACATTCTGTGACATTCCACCCAGAACTTCGTAACGCGTCTTCCAAAACAATTGAAATTGTGAGGATCTAGCTAACGTTTATGCCGCTTCTACATAATTCATAAAAAAGTTCGATTATCGCTTCAATCATGGTCCGGTGATGTTAACTTTAAAATCTTGAATGTCATATTGGTAAGTAATAGCATTTTCCGATAGAAAATTACATTAGTCGGCAAGGCCATATTTGAAGGGGCTTTGCTAAAGTGCATCAGGTAGATGTGAATGTAAATAATTGAGAACATTTTTCAATTCCACTTGTAGTAATTTTTTATCATTTTCTCCAACAAAACCTCTACAAGTATGGCATAACCAATTTTGTTGTTTAACTTTCTATCGAAAAATGCTAGAATATACCGTTGCATTTGCGATTTAAAAGTTGCAATCACTGGACGAAAACTGGAGCGAAAGTAGTAAAATTGGATGCAACATGTAGGAGCGTTACAAAAAATAAATTAGATCCGCAAAATTTCAATTATCTCAGATTAGGCCAGGGCAGTTAGCTGAAAAATGGCCTTTAGGAGAAGTTTTTGCAATCAAGCTGATTTTTTCACAGATGATAGTACCCATCAATAGTACTCTGTAAAAAAAAGTTACACCTCCTAGGAGGCTTGCTTTTTCCGCCATGATGAATTGAAGATGGCGGCTGGTGCTATTCTTGGAAAAAATCGTAACTTTCTTATTTATTAACCGATTTTCGTCGAGTAAAAAAAAAAAACTTAGTTTTTGACTAAAAAAGAATGACATGAAAATATGAAACTATTTTGACAGGTAGTATTTCTGTCAAAAAAAAAAAAAATAGGAAAATAAATCGATTTGTTTTTCATCAATTTTCTCTGAACCGTAGATGCTTCTTAGCAAAAAAAGCTCGAAGATATGCGCTTTTTTTCTGATTTTGAAACAATTTTTGAGTTTGTCATAGGTTGAGTAGTTGGGAGTGGGAAGATAATATAGTCGAAAAGAACTTGAGACTCCAAAGAAAAATAAACTTATGCAGGATGTGAAAACTTGATTTTTTGCTCGATTGACATAAAAACAGTTGCCTTTGGTTTAGGCTAACAAATTTTCATTTTTCTACTACCGTGCGTAAAGTAGGTACTTACTTTATGCAATGTTTAAAAGACGTAAAATTAAATTTCACGAACTAATGCGTAAAGTAATTTGCAACAACAAAAATTTTATCAAATTGTATTAGTTTCTTCCCAAAAATGCATAAATACCCACATCCTCTTCTTCTGCACTAAAAATTTGGTTTTACTTCACACCCTGGGTTGTGAACCAAGTTACTTTAGATACTAGGGCGTAAAGTTGTGGTATATTTTTTCAAATTTATGGCTTTATATTGTCGGTAATAGAATTTTTTTTTGCATAAAACAGGTGTGCGAAGTGAACCTTTTTCCACAAATGTGTGAAAAAAATGCTTTACACACCTGTTGCATACAATTTTTTTTCTACTACCGACAATATTATGAGCGGGCGTTATAGATCATAACTCCGGAATGCCATTAAATTTGAAAAAAATATACCAACCACAACTTCACGCTCTAGTGTCTAAAATAACTTAGATCACAACCTAATGTGTTAAATCACATTTCTAATGCAGAAACAGGGCAGTAAAGGCTTTTATAATATAAAATTTTATACTGGGTATTTATGCATTTTTGCGAAGAAAACTGATTCGTTCTTATAAGTTTTACCGTCTGTTATATAATTCACAGTGTGTGTTGGAATTTCTTGGCATACAGACTTAAAATTAAAATGGATGAAAGACTTGACCAACAAGGTAGAAATGAAACAGGTCTTGGTAGCTCAGTTGGTAGAGCGTTGTACTAGATATGCGAGGGTCCTGGGTTCAAATTCTAGTCCAGGCAAGAAAATTTTCCATCAATTTCAATTGAAACGTCTGCATGCCATGAAATTCCCATTGTTGTTGCGAATCACTTATTCACGTAATAGTACGTGAAATCTAATTCAACGTCTTCTGAACAGTGCGTTAAGTAAGTACTTCACGCATGGTAGTGGAAAAAAAAACTTTTTGAGCTAAAACCAAAGGCAACTGTTTTTCTGTCAATCGACCACAAATAGCTACTTATGTAACGAGTACCTAAAAAACCTCATTTAGGTACAGTCGTGAGGTTAGAAAGTGGGACACCCGACTGACAGGTCGTGTCATTTTTCGCTATTTTGGGTAAATCAGTATTATTTTCTCTACAAAGGATTTTATGTCAATTATGACAATCCCTTTCATTGCGGTAGCTATAGCTGGGGAGCCCGTTTCACAATAGGAAAAATCGGGTGTCCCACTTTTGATGCTCACGACGGTACAGGGTGTCCCATTGAAGATGGGAATTGGGGTTATCTGCTAAACTCGTAGAGATAGATTCTTTTTGATTCCACATTCCCGGGCCAATTTTTTATGACGAATCGAATGCCGCAAACCACAGGTCTCTATCTTATTTCGTTTTGGAGATACAGGGTGAAATTTGAAATGTTCACTTTTCGAGGGTAGTCATTATCTAGCGTATAAAAAAAGATATCAAAAAGGTGAAAATTGTTTCTGACGCAGTTTTTTACGTAGATTTCATTGGCGTACTAGAATTTTTTTTTCCGATGTACCGTTCAAGAGATATGGCACAAACTTCATCTTTTTTAAATTGGACACCCTGTAAATTTTTATATTTTCAGAATACGCATAAAATTACCTTTTCAATGATATATAATTTATTATTTGTCTATATTATTATGTTATTTGAAACTTTCCATAAGAACCTTTGGAAATCGCATTAAATATAGTTTTATTTTCTGGTTCAATATGTGAGAACTTATCATTTTTTGATATGGGACACCTATTGTTTTTAATGTCGTCAATTGAGCGTTTTCTAATGGCTATATATACCAATTCTGGAGCCCCACACTCTTCCGCAGTCTTGGCAAACCCAGCCTCTGGCAACATTGGTCTCTTCCTCTGCTCTCTGGCTCCTTCCTGCAGGCCCTCTTTTTGGTCTCGTGTCTGCGTCGCTGTTCTTCAAAAGTTCTCAGATGCAATGATGGATAAAAACACAATACCTATGTATTCCCATTGGTCAGCCAGTTATCCGTCGACCACTAGAATTATGGAACGGTAAATATTCCTTGCAAATAGTTACCAGCAAAGTTTATCTGAATAAGGCCCGGTATATTCATCTTCAGATAAACTTACTAGTAACTATCTGCAAGATAAATTCATTGATCTATAATCCTATCAGTTGGCGGATAACTGACCGACCAATGGGATTACAGATTGCGTTTTTATCCTTCAGACTGCATACCATACCTGACAGTTTATCAGAAGATAGATAAACCGGCCTTTAATCATATTTTTTTTTTCGCATTTCAACGATATAGGTATTACACTTTATAATTATATTTTTGCTTTTACGTCAAGAAAAAATAGTTTCTGATTGCAAGGAAAATTTGATGTTATTTTGGATTACCTGATACAGCAGATATTTAAAAATCTTACTAATACTCGGAAACTTAATTTAATAGTCTAAAGCCGGCGATGTGTCGAATGCCTTCCAACGTTGGACAGATAGCGATTTGTGGCATCGTGTAAAGCCGGTGCCACACGATGTGTCGAATGCTTTCCAACGTTGGACACATAGCGATTTATTGCATCGTATAGGCGTGCGCTCATCGGATACATTTGCCGAATGCTAGAGTAAAAAAAACTGTGCCTAACGTTGGATCCAACGTTGGCACCAATGGTTGGACAAATTGTGTGGCGCCGGCTTTACCGTGTGCTCGTGACAAACATGTGTCTAACGTTGGCTACACTCAACGTTCGGGCCAAAGTCGGTAAATTTGACCCACTTGAGAAAAGGCTTGCAATGTTGGACAGAGGTTGGAGACACTGAAACACAAGGATTGACAGTTCGTCCATTTTTTAGGTTAGATTCAGTGGCGCTGTAAAAAAGTTTATTTTCCGATGCTGGTCCTGACTCGTGCTACTTTGAAACGAAACGGCACTGACAGCGATACTCCAACCTTTATTACAAGGTTTTTTCCAATGTGAGGAAGAATGTGCGCCTCGTCGTGTAGCGGCACATTTGCCAAAAGCTAGAGTGCCAAACATTGTACCCAATGTTGGATCTAACGTTGGGACCAAGGGCTGGACACATCGTGTGGCTTCGGCTTGAGGGTAGTTAATTTATCGTTAGATAAACTTACTGGTTAGATAAACTTACTCCCTCCGCACATTTTAAGCAACTAGAAAGACACTAAACCAATTGGCAACTTAAATCACCAACTACTTACCAACTATGGAATATGGATCACATACGACGCTACTGAAAAATCAAGTTACTTCTTGATTATAGTAGCTTTGTGGTGATTAAATTATTATTTTATTATTATGATTAGGATATTGTTATTATCCTAGCAAAAATGTTCGATAATGCAAGTCATGAAGATATTATCACTTATTGGGCTACATTCAAAAAATAATAAAATGCATATAGGATTTGAACTAGCCTAAAATTGAAGGATTATTCTCCAGTTTTCGCCGTTTTGCGTGCTTGTTCTCAAGTAAAAATAGAAACTAATCGCCAAGTGTCGCTGCATGTCGGGTTACGGCTAACTGATCACCGACGAGTTTCCTTACCAGCGAGTTGTGTTGCGTGGCGATGCTCATTGAAATACACAAGCGGCAACTAATAAGCAACTGAGTGACGATTCAAGTTTCTAGTAAGTTTGTTTTCAGTTGCCTAATGTGCGGAAGACCTAAAGCCTAATTGTCTACAAGATAAATTGGCCAATCTCTAATCTTATTGGTTTGCGGATAACTGGCCAACTAATCGGATTATTTATAGATTGCCAGTTTATCCGTCATATTGCCTGACAGTTTATCAGAAGGTGAATTACCGGGCATTAGACTATTAAATTCAGTTACTGAGGATTAGTGAAATATTTGATTATTTTTTATATGATATATGCTGTAGGTAGGTACCGGTTAATCCGAAATGACATCAACTTTCTTTGCAATCACAAACTATTTCTTCTTGACGTTAATGGAGAGATATAACTACAAAGTGTAATATCTATATCGTTCAAATGGAAAAAAATACAGGATTTAATAAACTATTATTTTACAGGGTGTCCCACATCCAAAAATTACACCAGAAAATAAAACCAAATATTCAATGTGATTTGCAAGGGTTATTTCTTATGGAAAGTTTCAAATACCTACCATAATAATTTTGGCAAGTTACAACATAATATAAACAAATTATATATCATCGAAAAGGTAATTTTATGCGTATTCCAAAAATGGAAAAAATTACAGGGTGTCCCATTTAAAAAAGATGAAGTTTGTGTCATATCTCTCAAGCGGTACCTCGGAAAAAAAATTCCAGTACGCCAATGAAATCTACGTAAAAAACTGCGTCAGATACAATTTTCACCTTTTTGATATCTTTCTTTATACGCTAGATAATGACTACCCTCGAAAAGTGAACATTTCAAGTTTCACCCTGTATCTCCAAAACGGAACAAGATAGAGACCTGCGGTTTGCGGCATTCGATTTATCATGAAAAATTGGCCCCGGAATGTGGAATCAAAAAAAATCTATCTCAACGAGTTTAGCAGATAACCCCAATTCCCATCTTCAATGGGACACCCTGTACGTGATACGAACAATATTTTTTTTTGAAATAGCGCTCCAAAAATTGATTGAATTCCGTTGACAAAAATGTGAAGTGTTGAATTGATTGAAAAAAATTGAAATTTTGAATTGATTATGCATTAGCAGGTGCGACAGCGTAGATACAAACTGACAAGGTTGCTATGACAACTTTTAGGGATTAGGCCAAAAATGGAGCCTTTCGCGGTGTGGCCGAAAGTAAAGCATTTTATGGACTGAAATAAGTCCACAAAATAGCTATTTTTGAGAGCGTATACAAAAAATAAAGCTTTCACATCCTGCATAAGTTTTTTTTTCTTTTTTGGCTTCTTCTTTTCTTTGACTATATCTCCCGAACTACTCAACCTATCACAAACTCAAAAACTTTTTCAAAATCAGAAAAAAAGAACATATTTTTGAAATTTTTTACTAAGAAATAGCTACTGTTTACGGTTCAGAAAAAATTGAAGAAAACCAATTCGATTTCTATTCTTATTTTTTTTTTGACAGACATACAACGTGTCAAAATGATTTTATATTTTTATTTCATTCTTTAGTCAAAAACAAAGCTAATTTTTTTTTACTTGACGAAAATCGGTTAACAAATAAGAAAGTTACGAATTTTTTCAAGAATAGCACCAGCCGCCATCTTTAATTCATCATGGCGGAAAAAGCAAGCCTCCTAGGAGGAGTAACTTTTTTTTACAGAGTACTATTGATGGGTACTATCATCTGTGAAAAAATCAGCTTGATTGCAAAAACTTCTCCTATTTTTGCTAACTGCCCTGGCCTAGATGATGCGTCCCGAAGGGTAGAATATGGTGGTGGGGCCGAGTCTATTCTATTTCCTTCTTGGTGTAGCCGTCTATACTTTCCCAAGCTCATGTCCTATCTGGCAGTTTATCATTCCGGCTCTCCAGTCCAAAACTAATCATTAATAACTCAGCAGCTGATTAGACTGTCCCATGTAAGCATTGAAGTATCCTCCCGTATTTACAGTAAAACGTATATGTTCCTCTTTCAAGGCCGAAGTTATGTCACCTGAATGACTTTGATATACGTCGATATCTTGTGTTCAGTTCAATATATATCATCATCGTGGAGATTTTTCTTAAGGAAGCAATATTTTTGTAGTAGGTACTGCCTGTGTATCAAAAATCAACATCATCCTATAGAGCTCTCTTCTTCTTCTTCCTCACCCACGGGGTGAAAAACATATCCAGATTTTTGGCTTACACAATTCTCGCCACGTCTTCTTTCCTAGCAGGGTCCAAGATATTTTTTGTTCTAGCTCGGCCAACCTGTCATGTCATAATAATGAGCGTGCATTAGGTATAAGTTATTTTATTGTCCGTTTAGTCACCAATTTTCCCTAGTGCGTGACCTCAATAAATTTTCCAGTTGGCTTTTTGTGAAGGTTGGACTTAGATCAAAAAATTAACGGCGACAATAAAAATAAATAAACCAAAAAATAAGAGTCCAAATTCGTTTTATTCGTCGAAACATTACCTACCACCTCCGAACGGACAGCTTTCTTATTATCTAGAAGATGTATTTGGAATAAAAATGGCACAAAAATGCGACAAAAGGTAATAGACACATCCTGGGACCTGAGCTAATTTTGATGAAACAATCCAAACTTAAGCTATTTTTTGCTTTCTGTGTAAAAAATTAAATAATATCAAACCTTTGAATTATATTGAAACAATGTTTTAATAAATTACCTTGCAGTTCTTTCGGGTCATACGTATATTTGCCAGAGAAAAAACCCTCGCTCGTCAAGAAATCTGCTTTAACGCTTTAATGAAAAAAATATACCTATTTGAACAAAGTTCTGGAAAATGTGTATATGCACCTGAGTTATTGTTACATTAATTTAAAAAAAAAAACCGCTGCTGGCCTGACAACTGCTTACTAATTTTTAAAATAAATCGGTATTTGCTGCCTGCTTTATTCAAGTTTGTTACATTTCGAGAAAGTCGTCCATGACAGTGTAATTTTTACATGGTAATGGCGTTCATAATTGCCTACCAGTAAATTTGCATAGGGATCGAAACATTTCACGATCAGATTCCGGAAAAAGTCAATCTAAGACACACTTCATAACTTGTCGGTTTAGTCTGAGCCTTGTTTTACGTTTCAAAAAATCGGCTAGGACTATGCGTCTCGAAATATCCAAAATTAAAACCTTAGAATGACATTAAGGCAAATCATGTATCTTAGTGTAACATTTTCACACATTTTCCTGTTGAAATCTTTGGATATTAACATTCTTGAGCATCAAACAACTCTTTAGTATTAAGCAGAAGAATCGATAATGATTAACTTAGGGCCAGTATAATTTCCAGTTAATCCCAAAAAATTTCATACTCATAAAATTCAATACAATCTATTAGTAATTATTTTATTGTAGACTACCTATATGCCACTACCTCAAAGGATCATTTAAATAATAAGTTAATGACAAATGCAACTACGGAGTATAGGTGTTATGAAAGCTTTTTTCTTACCAAGTCAGCTACTCCAGCTAAAGGTATTGAATTAGCATCTTCTCCAGCATTCGCTATAGCTTTTTCCATCGACTTTAAAATTTGGTCAATAGGCGCCCATTCAGCTTTTTGGCACAGTGTTAAAATTCGTTGGGCTGCATCTCTTACATTGGCACCCGCAGACTGAGGTTTTGCACTTGGCGTATCGTCACCATCAGGATTGCTGGTCGTTTCCTCTTTATCTTTCGATTCTTTGGCGATTGCTAACAAGATGGAAAAATATTTTTTTTAACATTGGTGTTGAGCAAAGATTAGTTTTTGTAATACAGCTAGATTTGAAAGGAAATTTAAGTGTGAACTCCAAAGTCACCGTTAGCAACAATATAGGGATATAGGCGAACACCTATAATATTGGTGTTGCTAGGCTAGGGGGAGTAATGTCAACGATGTCAATGTCAACAATAAAAATAACCTAAGTAAAAATAATGGTTACATTATTTTCCAGGCGATTCGAATCAGCTGATAATTCAAGATGACGATGAGGCTCGAATGTAAACAAACCATTGAGGTTAAACATTGCTTCCATATAAATGTGTGTTATTTCTACCTGTTCCAGAGTTTACTTTAATGAATTTTAATTATTAACACTTTAGAAATTCACAGTAAATACACAATCTCTTATGGACGTCAAGCTTATGCCTCGGCGTCATCTTGTACGTCAAATACCAAATCGCCCTATAATCCTGATAATAACAACAAAAATCAGAACCAGGTTATTCCAAGAAATTACCGTTAAGGCACCCATAGGTACACCTTCGAAAATGAATGAAACTACTAATTTTGCCTCGGGTTCTGCAAATGATCCAAACTAATCAGATACAAACATTTCCAAAGCATACTTATCTACACAAGACTGAGTTGTGATACAAAGCCCGAATACCTGGGAAGTTGTATGCTCTGTCACTATCAAGCAATCTAATTTTGAAAATTGCTGGAGGAGATAAATCTTGCCAGAGAGGGCAATAATTTCGCAGTTTTCACATTTTTTTGTTAAGAAAGGAATACCGTAAAAAAATAGATTATATGAATTCCTTGATTGGCCCTGATGCACCTGCTAATAGTATTTCTAATGAAAAATGTATAAAAATGATGTATCAGAATGTTAGAGGTCTTAGGACTAAAACAAAAACAATACACAAAAACATTCTTGTTGAAGATTGGGATAATATCTATGTCAGCGAAACTTGGCTAAATGATTAATTTTTTTATAGTGAGTCATGTGATAAAAGGTGAGTAATGGTCAGGAAAGATTAAGCTAATTAAAATGTAGACAGAGAAGACTTCTTATTTGTGTAAAATACAAATACCGAACAATATTTCTAGCGAAGAGTCCACCTGCATGTTGTCTCGGATTCTGGGGTTCACTGAAACTTACTTCATCACAAACAGTAATAACTTCTATTAAACAAATTGACTTCAATAGAAAATTCACTACGGCATCACTTATCAAAACATACGCGACAAATATCGATTTAAAACTAGCTAAACTTATAACTACCTACGCACTATTTATAGTCGAAATCGCACTCGAGATCTATGCACAAAAACATCGAACAATCGAATATAATAGGATTCCCAGAAAAGGCGCGCTGCCCGACATAAACGAGTACCTAATTTCCTATAGTCCGGGCCAGGTTGTCGATGCATTTTCGTTGCCTTCCTTCTAAATGGTATCGTCCCGGTCTAACCATTTATTCTCGTGATAAGCCTTCAACTTGACAAGATATACTACTCATCTTCCCATTGGGGCCGCGTTGGATTCGATACACTACGTCGTTTATTCTCTTAATAACCGTGTACGGGCCTTCCCTTACTGGTGTTAGCTTGGGATATCTACCTTCCTTCCTTTGAGGGTTATAGAGCCAAACTTTGCATTCGCCAGGAAGCCACCTATTAAGTTCGCCTTAAGATCATATCTCGTTTTCATTCGATCACTTGCGAACTCTGTCCTTTCTCTAATTATGTCGTGGATGCCATATGCAGTCTTTCTCTGTTGACCCGAACACCAAGCAACAGGGTAACAAAGCTCCCTTCCAAACAAAACTTTGGCAGGTGTAATTCCTGTTGTTATGTATGGCTAACCTGTATTTATCAGAAATAGAGGTATATGCTCATCCAATCATCTTGATGCTTCTCAAATACTTTCAAGAGATGTTTTTTGATGGTCTTGTCGAATCTCTCAACCATGCCATCTGACTGTGGTTGCAATGCCGTGGGTCTGGTCTCGTAAGTGCCTAGCAGTTCGCAAAAGTAATGAAATAGTCGTGACTCGAAACTGCTTCCTTGATCAAAATCAAGTTCCAATGGAATTCCATACATAGTAGAAATATTATTGCCTAGGACTTTCGCAACTGCAGATGCTTCTGGATTTGGAATAGCGAAAACTTCAAGCCACTTGCTGAAATAATCCATGGCAACCAAAATGTATTTGTTTCCAGTCCGTGTAGCACGAAATCGGCCGGCTATGTCTATTGCCATTTGTTTGAAAGGCATTCCCACGCTATACTGCTTTATTTGTCCCTTAGATCGTGTTTTGGGTCCTCAACTTGCTGCGCATATCGCACATTGCCGGCACCATCTCTTGACATCCTGGTAATAGTGTTCACCCAATAGAATCTGTCACGGATTTTGTTCAAAGCCATATTGACTCCCAAGTGAGCTCCGGATGATGAAAAACTTTTGTCTTAGGCACGACCAATTATGAAGACTTTACCACATACGCTCTCCCAGGTTCGTTCCAATAAACCATTCTCGACCAGAAGAGAGTTCCATCGAGCCCACACCCCATTTAAGTTAAGCTTCTAGGTGATCTTTCTGCCAGGTTGGTCTGGATCTTTCGTATTCCTTTAGATTCAAAAATGGCTTGATGTGGGTGTTTGATTAGGAAAATTGTACCGCTGTAACTTCTCCAGCCATCTTGATACCTGTCCTTCTGGTTGTCTCATGTTTAGAAGTAGTGACAGTGGTGACGCCAGGGTTTTACGTTAGGGGGGGCCAGGCTGGGCCAGAAAAAATTAGGGGGGGCACTTGTTCTTACTTTATTGCTTTTCTTCTTTTAAATAAAAAATGGAAATTGCAAAGTTTTCCCGTATATTTTTGCTCTCCACCTGAACAGGTTAATTGAATAGGTATCAAAAAGGTTTTTATTTGGATTTTGTATACAGGGTGTCCGTTTTTCGAGTACAACGATTGGAATATAGGAAACGGTAAGAGATACAAAATCGCAATCAATGGCCAAATGTGTTACTGCTTTTGTGAGATCAAGAAACTCCGAATACAATTCATAAAAATGCAAACCTCTATTTAAAAAAATAAAGTTGATGATGATCGGCAAAAGACGAAACGTCGGATTTCAAATTTGGTTACACCATTATGTAAAGGGGAGAAAGTTGCCCCAATAAAGTGAAGTTTATTTGAAATACCTTTACAAATGAGTCCAGGAAAAAATAGAAATGATTTTACAAAATTTTGATTTCCGTGTATCTCCGGAAGTATTCGGAATTTTCCAAATTTAGAAGTAGCGTTTTGTTAAGCAAGAAATTGCGCAACTTTGTCCCAATTTAACCGAACCTGCTAGGGAATTCTGCAATTTTCGTTTATATCACGAAGCTAAGTGAAAGCTAAGCTAAACCATAGCGAAGTCGATTTTTGTTGATATTCTATAAGGTGTTCGCTTCGCTTCCACTTCGTTTTCCTAATGTCACACGACAAAATAGGAGTTTGAACGATGTTTGGTTAAATAATCATGGCAACATTGTAGGTATATGAGCCCAAAGCAAAAACCGTAAAAAAAGAAGAGAAAATCAAAAGGAACCAATAACGGAACATACCCCAAGTTTGTATTTTGAAAAGTTTCAAAATTTGAAACTTCAATGACATAATTAATCATTCCTATTTTTTTTTCTATAATATTTATATTGCATTTCTCATATTATTGTGTGTTAAAAATGTTGCCGGTACAATTTGTTGTAGGTATATGGAGAACTCGAGCGAAGAAATTAACTCAGGTTAACGCGAGAAGACCGTAGGTTCCTTTAAACAATGAATAAAAAGACTGTTTATACCTTAGATTTATACAATGATTCGAGCTAGAAGTGACCCATTTAGTTTAACAGATAGAGGTTGAAACGGACGTGTTTTTGATTTTTTCTCCATTTTGCAGTCGAAATTATACCTGAATAAATTGATGAATTAAATTTGATAGAGAAAAGTTAAAATTGCACAATCTACATAATAAAAACCTCGTCAAGATCAAAGCCAATAACATAACCCGTTATTGTCTACACGACGATGATCGACCAATCACTATGGACAATGGAAACTTTCCAGGGGAAAGCGGAACAAAACGCGAGTCAAAATTCATCGCTTTCGCTTTGCAATCGGCTTCGTGATCGGAGTCCCCGATTCTTCCCGAAAGGGGTTGTAGAATAGCAAACCGAACAAATCGTCCCATAACGAACGTCATTGTTTCGCTTTGAGCTTATAGAATCTGCCCCCTGTATCTCTTACCGTTTCCTATATTCCAATGATTGCTCTCGAAAAACGGACACCCTGTATAGGTAAATCTTCTTGATACCTATTCAATTAACCGTTCAGGGTCGGTTTCTCAATAGCTAGTTCAGGGTAAACGTGTCCAATTTCAATATTTACCCTGGAGTTATAGTTAACTGCTTTGACCCGGGGGTGACTTGCTTGCTATTGAGAAACCGGCCTTCAGGTGAGGTGCCAAAAAAACACAGGAAATCCCTGTACCTGCCGACACAAATATATTTGGGGGAATCTCAGAAAAGCGAAAGCATAGTCGCGGTTGCCTGGTGCCCACCAAATATCAAATTATACAGAGAGCAGAAGTTACTCATGTTGCATTGCATTGTTGTCGACATGATGGCAAGTTTTCAGGGGGGGGCAGCTAAATTTCAGGGGGGGGGCGGCCCCTGGCGTCGCCACTGAGTAGTGATGCCGCCGAGACGGGAGATTCTCGTCTCGTCTCGTCGAGACGAGAGACCGATTTTCTCTCGAAAAGTCACTCCGAAACGAGACGAGAAAATGCTTTCTTTCGTCGAGAATTTCTTGAGTTCTCTCAAGATCTCTCGCTCTCTCGTGCAATATAAGTTTATTGTTGCATTGCTTATTTAAATTCTTATAATATAACTAAATGAAAAGTGTTTTATTTTGTGTTTATATAACTTTCTATCTAAACTGTATGCAAAATGAGTTTACGCCAGATCAAAACAACAGCATTTTTGTCCAATAACTGCTATAAATCATTAGCTGATGCTGCTTTTAAAAGATTAGGGGAGTTGAAATGTTTCCAGTGGCTGTATAATAATTTTACCTACGACCGTGCGGTAAAGTGCCTTTCACCGTACTTATTTGCAAGTGGAAAGTAGCACTATAGCGCATAATATGCGGTAAAGCGACTCTATCGCATAGTGTGCGATAAAGTCGACTGAATAGTGTTCACCGCACGGTTGTAGATATAATACTGTATACTGTACTGTAAGCATATAATACCCTTAGAAATTGCAAACCCGCCTCACCGGCTCGGTTTGCAAATTTCTCTCGCGTTCGGTAATAACCTAGTTACCACACTCATTAAATAATATACTATTATATTACAAACACAGAATCGTCGATTTTATTGAAACTATTTTCCTTAAAATAGTCTTGATTATTCCAGTGGCGTTCCGAACCCTTTGTTAAAATAAAAAAGTATTTAAATGTCCACAACACTGGAAAATTTCAATATTTTCCTGGACCTTTGGATATTATGGGTAATATTACATTTTTATACATGAGCGAGAATAAATTTTTTGCATTTTCTCGACCTTGTAGATCAAATTAACTTAGTGTGCATCAAAACTCACGAGAGACGAGAGAAAACGAGACGAGACGAGACAAGAGAGGAGCTCTCTCGTCTCGTATCCAGGGTCTCTCTTCGAGACGAGAGACTCATTCTCTCTCGAACCTTCGAGACAAGACGAGAGAGAGCGGATTCCCTTCTCGTCTCGTCTCGCGGCATCACTAACTCGAAGCCATTCGAACGATGCATGGTCTGTTCTAATGAGAAATTATTCTTGCCCATACAGGTACTTGTGGAAATAGGCAAGCGCTCTGACTATTGCTAACAGTTCTTTTCTTGCAACGCAACAATTTCTCTCGGGCTTGGTGAGCACTCTACTGTAGTATTCAACGATCATTTCTTCCCCATCTTGTATTTGCGACAGGATAGCTCCGATACTTGTGTTGCTCGCGTCTGTTTCCAAAATAATAGTTTTCCATGTACCCATAAGTAGCCTAATGTTTTCTAGAGAGAGGAGTCTAAAATGAATTCTTAAATTATTCAGGTTAGTGAAATCACCATAAAATATATCGTACTTGTATGACAAACACTTCAAAAATCTATTGTGTACGCTCTGAATTCTATTTACATATGTTGAACAAATAGGGACTCCATATTATATTTGCAAAGCTTAGCTTACTATACACAATAATAAAGCCGTTTTGGAAACCTCGGGCTCTGAACTTTAAGAAAATAATACATTGAAACACCTTGGTAGGCGGTGCAGTATTATTGTTTGACATGACACAGGTTTTTCCATATACCTATTATACTGACGTATACGTATAGCGGGTTGTTTCGAGCTGGTGAAGCAAACAATATGAGATGAAAGTATGCCATCTATGTCTAGGGAGAATTTTGTTTTCTAATGCGAATGCGTCAATATGACATTATTCCACCAATAAGCATCAATTTTAAGCAGCTAATATTGCAGGGTTGTCAATAAATCACCAGAAAAACAAAAAGTCGAAGTGAGGCATAATATGTCCTCATAAAGAAACCATCGAATAGCAGCGAAACTCTACTCGAATCATTAGAAAAAAGAAAACAATTTTCAATGGGTAACTTGAAAGGGGCCTCCGAATGTTACCGCTGCCAAAAAAGGGGGCATTTCAAAGACGACTGTAGAGTACAACTGAGATCCCTTTTCTGATGACTGTCAGTCTTTGATTAGGACGTTGTAACAGTACAATTTTCTAAACGAACTTCAGTCTCGGAAACTGCATTAAAACGCAGATGTCTCATCGAGTCGACCATACCCAGTTCAATGCAAGGACTGCTTGAGAATCACCAGAGTTTCGAATAGCTATGAACTGATCAAGTAGAAGAAAATGTCATAAAACTTTAAGAAAACCAGCAGTATATTGCCAACAAGCTGGAGATAATAAAAATCCGGCAGGTGAAGAGAGAAAAACCAGGAACAAGAAGATTGGTGGAATACGACTGCTAATCCAGATCCGAAATTTGATACGATTGCGAATGTTCCCCATTTAATTTACATTGCTGTCAGTCAAATTTAGTCTACGAAATGTACTCGAATGAATTCGAAAATACGACTCCAGCATAGCAGTCAACAGAGAACAGGTGGCCATTCTTCTAGTGTCTAGTTCTCGTGACGTTAGTGCATAGAAGTGGAAGACCTGGATGGATAGGTTAGGAATTTTCATTTCCCATTCCAAGCAAGCATATTTGCGTGATTCTAGAGACTTCCGGATTGTTATTCGTTGTAGAAATTCGCGTAGTTTGTAGGCTAGAAGTCATTGTCAAAAAATACAGACTCCTTGATAACTAGATATATGCAAAACTTGATGGAAGCAATAAACAACTAACGAGTATCATTTTAGTATAACAAGAGATATCTAATGAATATATTCTCTTATGATGCAGCTAGAGTGAAAACAGCGGCGAAGAAACTACTTAAACTTATAGAACTCTAAAAAATTTCCAGAAGTTTCTTCCCCATTCCGCGAGACGTTTTCAGAAAACTGAAAAATATTTCCAAGGGCAAATATAAACTTCTTAAGGGATACTTGAAAGTACAAAAGAGCTCCACTCACCAATTTTTCCAGTCCCATTAGTATCTTCATTTTTATCGCCTTTGGGAGGTCCTTTACCCCCGCCTTTTTTCCCACCAGCTTGAGACATTTTGTCTTGATATGTCTCTTGTTAAAAATCTTTTAGGCTCATTGCAAGCGAATGCCTATTTTTTAAGTTAAGTAATTTAACAACAAAAATTATAGTTGATAATAGTTTTTTTTGGTTTCTACGAAATCTTCTCGAAAATGTTTCGTGAACCAAGTTTTTGGTGAGCAATACCAAAGGTAATGTTTTGCACTGTACCAAACTGGATAACATGGCTTATGAACTTGAGGATAACATTATAGCTTTGTAATAGTATCTCGTAGAACACATTTTTTATTCACTGTCTAACTAGTTTTTTGAGTCCTACAAAAACACTAATCAGAAAAACTTTTCCCGTCGCTGCTTAACACAAATCTGGCATCTAGAAAATAACAAAGCCAGCACTAGGCAAATTATTGCAGAATTTTTAGCCAATAAGGGCCGCTTCTAGCCCCCACCACCGTCGCGTTTGATCGGGGGACGAAATTTGAATATACCGGCATGAGATCGGCCCCTTTCTCACCCATTTGCGAGGGGAATACGGGAATCTCTGTTTCGCGTGTACGATTCCCTTTTATGGAAGGTTCTGTGACATAGTGGCATTATTATATGTAGGTATATTGAGGTTAATATAAGCGTACATTATCGATATTTCCTACGAGTTAAATCAATGATTTTGATCTTACATTGTACCGAAAATTAATTTTGAATTGCAGAAACCGAAAATAAGAAAAAATACCTACCTGCTTATTTTTGCAAGAGGTTGGTAACACACAGCAAACCACATAGTTGATCTATGAAAAATTTTGGCAACCCTTTCTATTAGCTTAGTTTTCCGTGCCATTTTCGCTGTTTGTTGCTTCAGTGTCTGTCCTAGATAGATCTATTATCCGACTTTCTCCAAAAAAAAACTTTTCAAAATTTGAAATAGTTGAGCCGATACCTACCTACTTAGTGAAAATTAATATCCATGGTTGGGAGAGAGAAATTAATACTATATCGTCCGCAAACCGTAGATAATTCAATGTTGTCGTTTATGTCTAGACCAGTTTTGTTTCTTGAATTTATCCTCCATTAACAGCGCGGAAGGTTTTGGTGCTAACACATCTTCTTGTCTGACTCCTTTCCTAATTCGATCCAGAGGTAAGTATTCTCTTCCAGCTATACTGTGAATGAGGAATTTTTGTAGATGTTATGAAAAGGATGTCTGTTTCATGAGTTTATTCAAAATTTACCCTTTCTACGGTACAAAGCTCAATGCTATCGAATACCTAGTCCACGGAAGCGAGATAGAGGGGAACATGATCAGAAGTAATGAAACCATATGGCGCCTGTTAAATTGGTTGGGATGATTTTCATGAACACCTTGTATACCTATTTGGGATAATAACTAGATAAAATGATAGTTTTTGATTAGAGATCATGTTTTTTGGTGGGTATTATTTTATTCTTTGAATATAGGTTCGATAGCCTTTTCAGTGTTGATAGAATAGACTCTTCTCCGTCTTTCGGCATTCCAGCTATCACTCCATCTCGATTTCTGCTATATCTTCGGAACTGAGAGGTCTATTTTTCACTAGTTACTGATTTGTGTCGGTATCTTTCTCTAAATTGTACCTACCGATAGAAGCTATTCACAGCTCAAACAATTTTGTTCTTGTCCATTTATTCTATTTAATATTATTTTTTATTTGCATGCTTTTGTGGGTAACAAGTCTTGGTTTCACGCATTTCAGGCCTTCATTCTCTTCTACGACCCTCTTTATCATTGCTTTGTTATCTGTCCTTATGTCTTCTGTGAGAGTTGTATTAATTTTATCATTGATTTCTCTGGTGCATTTCGTTTTCCTTCTTCTCTGATCCTTCAATTCCCTTGTCTCAGAGCCGTTCCTATCCTGCTCATTTTTGTTTTTCTTCCCTGTTACTTGCTTGGTTGGAGTATTTCCTAGGCAAAATTGATAACAATCAACCGAATCTAAGATCGCCATGTTGAATTCTTGACTTATAAACTGAGAGGGACTATTTACAAATTTTCCTAAGAATGAGAAATCAGAAATATTTCTCCCTTCTGAATTTGAAAATGACCACCTAAGTGGCATTTGATTCATTTAATCAGAAATGAAATATACATATATCTAGGTATATGTATAAAAAAAAACATTGATGTTGAAGCTATATTTGCTATAAATAGTGCCATAATACTTCACCAGATTTGTTGCGAACCAAAGTTGTAATTTCCAAGGACCTTTATAGGTAACACAACATACCTACGTAACATTTGTTTACTATACAGATAAAAACTTCTAAAATTTAGAACAGCAGAGCTAATACGATTATTACCGATTGTATCAAAGTTCACCAGTTTGTTCGAAATAATTAAGAGGCCTTCAAAAACGCATAGCTCGATAACTCATTAAATTAGAATGTATTTTCCAGAATGATTTGTATAATTCTGTGTTTAGGTTCTTTTTGTGGTACCTTTGATTGTACCTATTTGATTTTGTCCATATAATATTAGTTTTTTTTCGCCATCTTGAAGTTCTAGTATCAAGTCGCCGACCAATATCTAGATTGGTTTCCGTACAGACAAGTACTTGAGAGCCTATACCAATTTCTGATAGGTCCCTAATTTACTGGTTGGAAAGAGATTCGCGGGTTTGACAGCCCACGTTGTGATGAAAAATATTACCAGGAAACGCCTTCATCTATACGTGCAATTATTAATATGTATTAGTTTCGCTTATTCGTTCACTATGTGTATCTATTTGTTGCAATAAAATTATCTACATTAATGCTTCAAATCTGTTTTTCAATGACCCCGATTCATTTGGGCATTATATAACACTTAATTAAATCTGCCTTGAAAATGTATCGATTGTTTTTTCAATTGCAGCAGTTCTTACACTATACAAAGGGTTCTTGGCCAATGGCAAAGTAGGTCTTGCTGGCACGCTACCTTCGGCTTGACTTCCGGTCAAGCCGGGGCAAACACAGAAAGTTCAGATAAGAATTTTTATAAGCTATTGATGTTTTGGTTTTCTGCGAAATTGCTAAAATTAACACTAATTCACGTAAGAGTATCCGCTTTATGAAATAAATCGAACGTACAACGTACGAAGGTATAACTAATACATAATAGGCAACAGTATTTTTTACACAAAGGTATCTCAATAATATCTGTTAGTACAGAGTGTCCCAAAATCCCATGGCTTACCTAATGCGACGTCACTTCACACTTCACGTATACGTATAGCTTTTAACTATATAATCAAGTCAAAAAATAGATTGTAGGTGAAGTAAGTAGGCATGGTTGGTTCTACTTCGGCATCACTTCTTCTCCATCCCTCAAATCATTATATGCTCATTTCAATTCAACGGTTAACTATGGTTAGAAAAAAATTAAGTCAAAAATTTCAACAGCACAATTCAGAACATTAAAAATTGCATTCATTTTTGTCCAATAAAATATTGGAAAAAATAAGGTTGCTGAGCGTCAAGTTAGATAGCCCCATACCTGACCATGACAATAACTCTTCTCAGGAGACTCAAATGCACGTCTCTGACATTGCATTTCCCCCCTTAAAAAAACCCAACCTTTCTCCTGCGAACTTGCCTCACTCTGCAAACAAAAAACGTATCACTTATTTAAAAAACAAAAATGATGACCCTTCACACACTGCGACTAATGGAACAAAACAGACTAAAAGCAATCAAATATTAAGAAATGATTCAAACCGAAACAATAATCCTACTGACAGTATTAACTAACATGACACTATTTTTCACAAATCCTAAAAAGCATTTATTGAGGCTCTCCATTACTCCCGACGAGCATCGTGGCATAACAAATTTCTTACGTAAACAAAAAATTGAAGATGGTCAACATTGTTATCAAAGGACTAGACTAGACAGATATCAGGACCTTGATGAAGTCCAGGAGGAACTTGAATCTCTGGGTTTCTCCACTAGAGAAATTTAAAGATTCAAGCCTTCTAAGAGAAGTGGCCATAAAGGCTATTTTTGATGAAACTCCTGGTCTTCCCAAGTGAAGTGGACGAATTTTACAGAATCAAACGGATTAGTTACATGCCGGTGACCATTGAGGCTCAGCATAGCAAAGACAAAAAGTATGTTCCTCAATATCATAACTGTGGACACAGCAGCTTTGTTCAAAACTACACTCCCAACTGTGATCAGCAACAATACTAATACAATACTTACCCCCTCAACAACCAAATTTGACAAATAACTGCATTTTGTGTCTCTTGACTCTTGCAGAGCAAGGTATTTCGAATAAACTGAACAAACTGGCTAAGATTATTATTAATCATCCCAGTCTTAAACTTGGCTCAACTTAACTAGACATAATGGGTGATACACCTAGACCGACGAGACTTCACATAATCTCTTCGAATGCATACGCTATCTTTTCCAGAAGATAGGAGTTTGCAGCCTTCTTACATTGAGGGTAATGTTCATGTGACATAGAATTAGTCCAGGAGACTATGCTCAGACAACACACAATTTACAACGTAGGTACAAAGCTATAACATATACAGAAAGGACAGACCTAGCCGTGCTGGTGCTGGTACTGCCATTTTCGTTAAAAACAAGAATCCTCATGATGACACTATTGCCTCAGACAATGTGGAATACACTGGTGTGAAAGTCCACCTTGTAGATTAGGTCCGTTCTCACAGAAATCACAAACCAGTCAGAGCGTTTTTTATTGGTGCAAATCACCAACAACCAACAACCAGTTTTCTGACTATTTTCAACCAATGAGATTTGCTCCGACTGGTTGGTGATTTCTGTAAGAACGAACCTTGTTTATCCAGTATTCACAAGCTTCCTTCTAAACACCTAACCCAAGATGATATGAACCTTGTTACAAATAAATTTAATTATTTGATACTTTAAGACAAGAGAACCTATAGGGTCGTGGAATTCAAAGATAAAGATAACGTGTAGCCCCTTTATGTGCAAATGAAACCACTCAAATTCTAACAAACAATAATTTTATTTTCACAATTTAAATATTTGCAAATGTAAGTTAACAAGTTGCTTTTGAAAACTTGACAGTTAGCAGTTTGGTTGTTTTAGTGACACACT